AGAAGGATGTCCAGAATGATGTCTGGAAGGTCGTTTGGCTGTCCGGTCTAATTAGCATATTATGCTTTTATTATTATAGATTCCTGTTTTGCCCAGGGTTCTAAACTATTAAAATTTACTAACATACAGATAGTTTTCGATGCTTGAGTCACTCTCTATCTTGCTATTTGCATTTCATTTCTAATTATTTTCCTAAATTTTATCCTTTAACATTTTTTTAAATATATTTTATTGATTTCAGAGAGGAAGGGAGATGGAGAGAGAGAGAGAGAAACATCAATGATGAGAGAGAATCATTGATTGGCTGCCTCCTGCACTCCCACTACTGGGGATCAAGCCCACAACCTGGGCATGTGCCCTTGGCTGGAATCGAACCTGGGACCCTTCAGTCCACAGACTGATGCTCTATCCATTGAGCCAAACCAGTCAGGGCTAACATTTTCTTTTTATACACCAAAAAAATTGATTATACTGCCCAGCTGGCGTGACTCAGTCATTGAGCATCAACCTATGAACCAGGTGGTCACGTTTTGATTCCCAGTCAGATGAGAACACATGCCCAGGTTGCAGGCTTGATCCCCAGGGTGGGGCATGCAGGAAGCAGCCAATCAATGATTCTCTCTCTCCCTCTCCCTTCCTCTCTGAAATCAATTTAAAAAAAAAAATATATATATATATATATATATATATATATATATATATATATATATTTGATCATACTTATAATCTGCACTGCTGTTTAGCACTTATTTTCATCTTCATCTGTTATTGTCTATGCTTCTGTGTGTTAACTCTGTCCTTTCTATTATATTACAAGTTCCTTGAAAGAAATGATATCTTTTTTATATACCAAAGGAACATGAATTTTATTTTTTTACTTTGCAATTACAGTTCACATTCAATATTACTTTATATTAGTTTCAGGAATACAGTATAGTGGTTAGACATTCCTGTAATTTTTGAAGTGATTGTCCTGATAATTCCAGTATCCACCTGGCACCATACACAATTATTATAATACTACTAGGTGCAAAAATTTGTGCACTGGGGAGGGTGTCCTCAGCCCAGGCTGCACCCTCTCCAATCTGGGACCCCTCAGGGGATGTACGACTGGCATCCGGAACTGCTGGCTCCCAACTGCTCACATGTCTGCCTGCCTGATTGCCCCTAACCACTTCTGCCTGCCAGCCTGATCACCCCCTAACCACTTCCCTGCTAGCCTGATCACCCCCTAACCACTTCCCTGCTAGCCTGATCGATGTGTAACTGCTCCTCTGCTGGCTCAGTCACCCCCAACTGCCCTCCTCTGCCTGCCCAGTTGCCCCTAACTGCCCTCCCCTGCTGGCCCAGTCACCCCCAACTGCCCTCCCCTGCAGGCCAGATTGCCCCCAACTGCCCTCCCTTGCAGGTCTGGTCCCCCCAACTGCCCTCCTCTGCCAGCCTGGTCACCCTTAACTGCCCTCCCCTGCAGGCCTGGTCCCCCCAACTGCCCTCCCCTGCTGGCCTGGTCACCCCTAACTGCTGTCCCCTGCTGGCCTGATTGCCCACAACTGCCCTCCCCTGCCAGCCATCTTGTGGCTGTGGGCGCCACCATCTTTGAGGGCAGGGCAGTCAATCAGTATATTCCCTCCTTATTGGCTATGGGCGCCACCATCTTTGCAACGGCATGAGGGTCAATTAGCATATCCCTCTTTATTAGATAGGATTGACTATATTGCCTATGGTGTACTTTACATCCCTTGGACTTTATAACTACTAATTTATACTTCTTTTTTTTTATTTTTTTTTATCTTTATTGTTCAGATTATTACATTTGTTCCTCTTTTTTTCCCCCCCATAACTCCCCTCCTCCCAGTTCCCGCCCCACCCTCCGCCCTCACTCCCCACCCACTGTCCTCATCCATAGGTGCATGATTTTTGTCCAGTCTCTTCCCGCATCTCCCACACCCCTTTCCCCCCCAGGAATAGTCAGTCCATTCCCTTTCTATGTCCCTGATTCTATTATAATCAACAGTTCATTCTGTTCATCAGATTATTTATTCACTTGATTCTTAGATTCACTTGTTGATAGATGCATATTTGTTGTTCATAATTTGTATCTTTACCTTTTTCTTCCTCTTCCTCTTCTTAAAGGACACCTTTCAGCATTTCATATAATCCTGGTTTGGTGGTGATGAACTCCTTTAGCTTTTCCTTATCTGTGAAGCTCTTTATCTGACCTTCAATTCTGAATGATAGCTTTGCTGGATAAAGTAATCTTGGTTGTAGGTTCTTGGTATTCATCACTTTGAATATTTCTTGCCACTCCCTTCTGGCCTGCAAAGTTTCTGTTGAGAAATCAGCTGACAGTCATATGGGTATTCCCTTGTAGGTAACTGAGTTTCTTTCTCTTGCTGTTTTTAAGATTCTCTCTTTATCTTTTGCTCTTGGCATTTTAATTATGATGTGTCTTGGTGTGGTCCTCTTTGGATTCCTTTTGTTTGGGGTTCTCCTCGCTTCTTGGACCTGTAAGTCCATTTCTTTCACCAGGTGGGGGAAGTTTTCTGTAATTATTTCTTCAAATAGGTTTTCAATATCTTGCTCTCTCTCATCTTATGGCACCCCTATAATTCTGATGTTGGTACGCTTGAAGCTGTCCCAGAGGCTCCTTACACTATCCTCGCATTTTTGGATTCTTTTTTCATTTTGCTTTTCCGGTTGGGTGTTTTTTGCTTCCTCGCATTTCAAATCATTGACTTGATTCTTGCGCTCCTCTGGTCTGCTGTCGGGAGTCTGTATAATATTCGTTATTTCAGTCCGTGTATGCTTAATTTCTAGTTGGTTCCCCAATATAAGATCAAGGGTCTCATTAGTTTTCTTGTAGATCTCATTAAGTTTATCGGCGGCTTCTAAACAGTTCTTGAGAGACCTTAAAAGTGTGGTTCTGAACTCTATATCTTCCATTGACAATTTTGTCCTGTTTCTTTGTCTCCGCATTTTGTTATGCTTCCTTGGTGCACCCCCTATTGGTCTTTGTTCGAAGTCTTATAGTTAAATCTTGATTGTTGTAGCTAATTCCAGGGAGGGTTTGACCTCCAGGCCAAGTGGCTATGAGAATCAGCTGTGTCAGCAGTGAGAGAGCTTCTGTCCTCTAGGGAGGTGCTAATCTAGCCTTTGCCTGAGGCTATCCGGCAAAAGCCTCTGTGCAGGGCTTGGGCGGGGCGGGTCGCACAGGATCAACAGGGTGGGCCGGAGAGAGCAGTTATGGCGGCTCCCGTTTGAGTCTGGGTCCCCAAAGACTCGCCCGGATCTGGAGCTCAGAGTCTGCCACTCCCTCCCGATTGAAAACGCCAACCGCGCCCTCCGCCGCCAGCCCGCTCCGCGCACTCCGCACCTCAGAATTTGACTTCAGCACTGTGCCTCCTCTGGGTGTCCATATGCGTTTCTCTTTCCTCCTAGTTGTAGGACTTCCACTCAGCCAGCGTTCCTGTGGTTCTGGGTGATGTCCCTTCCGTTTTTTGGTTTCACTTTTGAAGTAGTTGTTCAAGGCAGCAAACTCCGGCGTTAACCTATGCCGCCATCTTGGTTCTCCACTAATTTATACTTCTTAATCCCCTCTCCTTTTTACCCAGCCCTCCAGCCCCCACAATAAGACTCATTTTGACTTTCTCAGAACCTAGAGTACCATGAAGAACAATAAAGAACTGTCAGATTGATGTGCTTCTCTGATTTAAAATTCTAGGCAATAGAGCATTCTCAGCTTTATTCTCAAATTATTTTACCTGAGAATAAAAGGTGCTAAAATTTTCACCTTTCTGTAAAGTGTGCTAAAGACCTTAAAAGATATCCAAACTTTTTTTAAAATATAGGAATTGCATCCTTCGGGATTGAGATCCAAAATAAAAATAATTTTGATTTTGTCACAATTTCTTGAAGCACAAACTAAGAAAATGAATCAGCCTTGAACTAGAAAAAACTTCTACAGAGCTCAAGCTGTATCTTCATGGTTCACTAGGTTCTTAGCCTTCTCACTGGGCCTGCCAATCAAGACACTTAGGAGAGTTCTTTTTTGGCAGACCAGCCCTGACTATTTGAAATGAGGCAGACATCACCAGAGCATTTCAAAGGCCAGACACCAGATGGTAATAATACATTTCAACTATTAGAAGTTTGGATCAGAAAGCTAAAGGTGAAGGTCTGATCTCATTTGTCAAAAGATGTAATTCATTATTAAATCAGGACAAACCAGTTAACATCTGAAGTATAATTTGGGATGCTATTTATAACATACTCACCAGTTCATTTGGCTTGACTGGCTGACTTAATTGTGTGTAGTGTTTCACAAAAAGCTTAGTAAGAGCTAGGAAATGACCTATGCAAATCACAGTTCTGGGTAAATCAAAACTTTCCTTCATGTGCCAATTAAACGTTAGCATGCTTGAGTTACTTAAAGAAATTATGTATTATTTAAAATAATTTGAAGCCGTTTTGACAACATGTATGTGATTTATCTATAATAATAAAAGCGTAATATGCTAATTAGACTGGACATCCTTCCGGACGAAGCCGGGCTGTGAGGGAAGCCCAGGTCCCGGGTACCAGAGTGAAGTCACTGCAGGCAGCCAGGGGAAGAAAGGCCTACTCTTGTACAAATTTTGTGCATCGGGCCTCTGATGCACAAAATTTGTCCACTGGAGTGGGGGGGTCCCTCAGCCCAGCCTGTATCCTCTTACAATCTGGGAGCCCTGTGGTTGATCACCCCAAAGAGGTAGGCCCTGACCACCTGTCCGGTGCTCTGTGATGGATCACCCCCATAGGGAGAGGCCCCACCCGCCCACCCCAGTGCCGCCAGGCCTCCCTCTTTGGGGTTATCTGGAGCCCCCTCAATTGATTGATCACCCTGCTGGCCAGTGGCCTGGGCCTCCCTCTGCAGGGCAGTCATGGGGCGATGGCCGACCAATTGCATCGCACTCACCTTGGCTGGCCTGGCACCAGTGGGTGTCATAGCGTGGTTGTCCGGAAGGTTGTCCTGAAGGTCATCTGGAAGGACATCCAGAAGGTCGTTCGGCTGTCTGGTCTAATTAACATATTATGCTTTTATTATTATAGATATGAGATTTTTACATAATCACGAATTATTTCTAGTTACATGGTCATAAAACCATGGTGCTCTGAGCTGCCTAAATATCACATTTTCTTTGTAAAAGGGAAAAATTGAAAACTTAGGTTTTCAAGAGCAAAATAAATTTGGGAGTTGCTTCCTTAAGATGGAGACATGACTGAACTTAAATATCTGCTAATAAGAGAAAGGTACCCTTTATAGCTATTCAGAGGCTATTATTTTTACTGATCTACTCTGCTAATACAAAGCATGTTCCAAGACAAGCTGGGGGTGGTAACCAAGGCTTCATTTATCTGAAATTAGAAGTGCCCATAATGGGTAGGTAGGGCTGTGGGCAGCATTGTGTGTTTCCCAGTTCTAATTAGCCATAGAAAAATGTGAAGAATAGCACCTGCATATCCAAATTCTCTTTAGGATTTGCTACCTTAAAAACTATTTTCCTTTTGTGATGTTTAATATGTATAATTATGCTTTCAGGAAGCTTTGAAATTATTTCTTTGCTGACCTGCCACTCCATTGTTAGGCGTATGTAGAAGCCACTACTAATTTATGGAAAATTCTCTCTGGGAAGAGTTTTAGAAATTAATTGAGTATGCCAAACATATATATATATTTTTTTATCTCCAATGTCTATCCCCTTTTTGCAAATTCATTCCCCATAAAGAAATTTTCCTCTGGCTCCTGGTGGCTTCTCTTACATTGTCTCTTGTGACTTTCTTGCTCATACTTCACCTTCCATGTCCAACCACCCTGCTTTTCAGTTCCTCATGGCTCTGAACTTTTTGTCTCAGGGATTTTACACTTTCAGTTCTCTCTTCCTGGGGCCACTCTTTTCCCTGGTCTTCATCAGCCAGTTCTAAGCCCAAAGGTCAACTCTGCAGATACCCCCAACCCCTCTAATATTGCTCTACTTTACCTACTTACTGTTTATCAATGATCTTGTCTTATTTTTCATGATTTGAAATGGTCTTACTTGTTAATTTGATTACTATCAGTCCCCCAACAGAGCTTCACAGAGCCCAGAGGCCTCATCTGCTTTGTTTACCTCTGTATCTCTAGCTACCAAACAGTGCCTAGGATGTGGGCACTCCATACATTGTTTTTTTGGAAAAGATAGATAGATAGGTGGACAGATAGATAGATAATAGATAGATGGGTAGATAGATAAGTAGCTAGATATCGTCACCTAATAACTAATCTATGGAAAGAGAAGTTAGAATACTGACTATCTCAGGGGTATATTCACTGGGTAGGGACACAAGGGATCATTCCAGGCTGTTAAAAATATTCTCCCTCTGGATCAGAGTAATGGTTATACAAACACACATAGATTTGCAAAAGTTAATCTAGCTGTATACTTATGATATGTTTATTTTGTGCTCCTAAATTAAAAAAAATTATGTCAGTCCATCAAGGGCTGGTTTATATGCATGGCATTTGGTAAGCTTGGTACCACTGGTGCTTGGGTCAGGCATCCCTAAATGCCCAGACAAAATCTTTGATTGTTGGAAAATAATATTTGTCTTAAAGGACAGATCTAAGATCAACAACGGAGCAGGTTGCCTTCTCAAAGACACTTATTGTTCCTTTAACATGGATCTGTTTTAACTATGACCCTACCAATGTCATTATGTAAGACTTGATTGAGCTAAGGGAGTCTCCTACTTTTTAGTGGCCATGTCATGGTCTGTGCACAGAGCCCAGGAAAAGATAAGAAGGCATGAGTAAAATACTAACTTTGAAACTCAGAGTATTTATTCACCACAATACATAGTTGACACAGTCTTTGCACATTGAGGATTCCACAGTCAAGAGAAATGATCATAAAATAATAATAGATAAAATTGAGAGCATGAGTATATCAGTTTGCCAGAGCAGAAGGTTTGTACATATCCATCTGTATATACAGAATGTCATTGGGAAATTATATGCTGAAGATCTGGTTTCTTTATGAAAATCTTTTTCAAAAAGATATAAAAAAATAGTTAATTTTACTCTATATAACAAATATGACTGAAAAATCAATAAGAATAGTCTCATCTATATAAGGGGACTTTTCAAGTAACTGAATCCTTAACCCTTCTGAGTACAAAATATTTTTTAAATGATGTTAATTTTCTATTTGAAAATCATTCTAAACAATTGCAGATTTCTTTTTCTCTTATACACAATGTATGGCTGTGACACACTCCACTCTTTGTGGTTTGGGTTCATCATGTATGTTGACGGTTGCATAAAACCACCTCAGCAGTTATTGTGTTGTGATCACAGTAACAGTGAGTGAACCTACTCGGCTGCACATCTATGCGATTTTAGTATCTCTTTCCCTGTTTGAGAGCATTCTCCTTTGGGTCTGAGATAATATCCTCTATCAGCACATCTTCTCTTGGATGTAATGCTTTTAACTTGTGACCTTATTTTACATAAACTTTCTGCCTAAGGGTGAATCACTGCAAAAGCTTTGTGACAACTATTTGACTTTGTGCTTTTTTTTTTTTTTCCCTCTCTCCTCTTAACTTAAGGTTTATGGGCCCAGCACGCTTCCACTGTACCACTCTGCTCTCTAACTCAAGGTTTAAAGCTATAGATTGTGAGTGGGTCAAGTCACTGTTCTCAGAAATCCTAAAAGTACACAGTAGCGATAAAAGAATTCATTGGCTAAATTAAAGAAAACTACATTTTCCCCCAAGAAGTCTGATAATGATAAACAACTCTTCTTGTTTCTGAGCATATAGCATGTCAAATTTATAAGGCACTCTATCACCTCATTCTTATTCATTATTTATCTACCCTTCCACATACATCAATTTCTTTAAAACTGGAAATTGAAGTTTTGCCCTAAGAAACCACTACAAGAGCTTGGGAAGAAAGTGAGGGCCCTGATAAACTTTCTACCCCATTTTTCTCCTTTCTGCTCACTTTTTTCTGACTTTCCTTTTTTTGTGACTCTGCTAGATTGTAAGGAATTTAGTTTTCAGTCTTTGGCTATCAGGAAACCCCACTGTAGTTCGGAGGAGGGAGTCAAGGCCCAGAATGAAGAGGTAAGTCTCTTATTAGTTCAAGGTCAGAGCTTGGACCTGTATTCTGGGCTCACAGAGCCACCCATCTCGGATGATGACCTAAGAAGCCTAGATCATTATATGCCCTCTCCACAGGCCCTGGGCAGAGGCATCCTCAGTTGGTGAAAAACCTTGCTTCTGCTTTGTCTGTCTCTCACTTCATATTTCCACACCCTTTCCCCTTCAGTTGTGTCCAATTCTTAGACCTCTAGTGTAACCCAAGCTTTGGACCTCTCTGTCTCACTCCCTCCCAAGCTCCTTATCATCCTCATCCTATACTTTGTCAAGATAAATCAGTTTGAGTCCTAAGCTAGTTGGCACTCTGAAAAGAAATCTAATAAATTAATCTCTCATAAGAAGCTAATGACTTATTAAGAGTTTAGGATATTAGGAACTCACTACTTGTATTTGGATTGCAATGGAAGATCTGTTGAAATATAAATCAAAGGCTTAACCGCAAGCAGTGACTGTTACTAGTAAGTGGACAAATTTCTACTAGTACCCATTTTGGAGTTAGGGGATGATGGTGGAAGAGAATAGGATGGTGGAGGGCTAATGTGATGCAGTTAAATTGTAAGGATGCTATTATAAGCCCATGTTCCCCTATACCTAAGGGGGTCAGTTCAGGCTTCAGTAATCTTGAACAGAGTCTTATTCCTACTACTGCTGTTTCCTAATCTGATTTTTGTTCTTTACTCTAAGAAGGTTTTCCATGAGACACCAGTGAATTAGTCTTCCTTAGGATAAAGACCTGAAGTGGGCACTTCTTGAGTGCTGTCTAGAATGTAAGAAGCTAGTTTTACTAGCAGCTTGGATTGCTGAAATGTACAGTTTCTTTCCATAAACTGTGGACATGGCTAGTCCAGGAAACCTAAAAAGCTAAATCAGAAAATCATAAAAGTTTGTTTGCACCCTGTTAATCCCCACCCACTACCCTCTCCCTCACCTTTCTGTCCCCTGTGCATTCCTAATTGTGTGTGCCAGGATGCCTTTGTCCCTACTCCTGGTTCATAGGTTGATGCTCAACCACTGAACAACACCAGCTGGGCTAATTTTTAAAATTTTTAATTTTTTTCAAGAGACATTGCTACAGGTGATCCTTAGAATATGCCTACAGAAGCTCTGGAGTAAGAGGTAATATGTGGTTGGTTGGATGTCTTTGAGCTCCGCCCACCCTGTGGAAGCCAGGAAGATGAGAGCTTCATTCTCAATTCTAACAGATGTCACCTTGATTGGCTGATTGGTCCTTAATTACCACCCCTCCCTCGACTCCTCAATTAAAGGAGGTTACAGTGGGATAAAGAACCTGGTCTACATTATAATGCTTGGCTTATATCCTAATAACAACTTAATAGACAGGCAGATTTTCCTTCAAATTCTTTTCCTCAACTGCTTTTTGGAGACCTATGTATTCTTTACCACAAAATCATGACACTGCTTAATTTTCCTCTATATGCCAATTAAAGCAGATGAATAGGAAGTGGGAGCTCCATCAGAAGTTCTAAATTATCCCTCTTTATTAAGACCCAAGGCTATATATTCCATTTATTCATCAGAACCCCCCAGCAGGTAACCCCTTTAATATTTTATATATAGTACTTTAAATTTATTTGTGGGTATGGCATGCCAGTTAATTTATTTAGCACAGTTTTGTGAAGGGATTTATTACAGAGATTTATAAAGAGTTTTCAGCCATAATGAATCAGGCACATCATCTTAACCAACTCCTTAATTTTAAAAATTTAGAAACCAAGGCCAAAACTTAAGGGATAGAGTGTACACCCCCTTATACCTTCTGACAGCTCCTCTTCTTTTTTTGGGGGGAACCCATGAGGCCCATCCTTCACTCCAGATCTATGTCTGACCAATCAGATCACCCCATCACCCAATCCCCATGATTGTTTCATGTGCAAGGACAGGACTAAGGCTGCTTGAGCTATCTGGGAAAAAGACCATTTCCAATTGGAGTTGCTAAATTAAAAAAAAAAAAAAAAAATCTAGGACTTCTGCCACCACCCTGAAGAAAGGTTGTCTGAAGAGCAAATGAAACAGAAAGATAAGAAGAGCTGAGAGAGGGAGGAAGACTGAATCAGGGTTACATCATTTGAGCCCAGGATCCAGCTGAGTTGATATTTAGCCCTTGACTTCTAGTTGAGTGAGTCAATGAAGTCCCTTTAGAGTTAGTTTGAGTTGAGGATTTAAATTTGAAACTGAAAGAGTGCTATTGGGAATACAGATGTGCCTGGTTCTAGCAGCGTTATGTACCATGTCTCCTGACACCCAGTTCTCCTGCCAGGAGTATCAGCCTGCATGCTCAGTGGCAGTCGATTTTGAGCTTTAGATTGCTTAAGAATCAACTGCAATATCTGTTAAAATGCAGATTCCTGGGCCCACAAAGATTCAGATTCAGAGGAACTGGGTGACAAAGGTCATAAACCTGCCCATTATCAAGCTTTTTCCTGAGTGGGGAAAGTCCTCAGGGAGGCCTGGGTGGTTCTGCTCACGGCTGTCACATTCTGTTCTAGCTGTACTATTCCCCCTGAGGTCCACAAACATGCCAGGCCTGCTCTGGTCTTAGAGCTTTATCTTGGCTGTTTCCTCCACCTGCAAAGCTCTTTACTCCAGATTATCTCCACTGCTGAAGCATTCCCTTCAAGCCTCGGCAGAAATGTCACTTCCTGACCCGTCCTATTCTGGCCTCTGTATTTAATACAGCAACACAACACCCCACCCCACAGACATCCTTTACCCTATTTTATGTCCCCCTCCCGTAACTCTTTTTACTTTCCAAAGTTCTATACTGTTTGTCTTATGTTTATTTTCTATCCTGTTCCTACTCCACCACCACACTCCCCCCCCCTCCCCCGCCCCAGCCCCTCGAATGCCAGCTCCAGGAATCAAGGATTTGTTCACTGAGGTACCCTAAGTATCTTCAGCACATCGCAGGCACTCCATACCTACCTTGTGAATGAAAGTGCTTTCAGTTTGAAGTGATTTCTGACTGTGAAAATGCCACGTGGAAATTATGTGGCTCTCTTAATACCTCAGAATCAAGATTATTAGATGATTCTTTCCTCTGGAATGAGAAGTGATAAGAAAGATGAGTAATAAACAGAAGTGGCTACACTGTTGTTGATATACCCTATGGTTGCCTAGGAGGAACCAGCTCCACCCACCCAGCCTTGCTTTCCTGAGAGCTTCCTTGGGCTTAGTGCAGGGTTTACCGATGCTGGTTTTGTCTTCTGAAGATTTCTGGGAAGAGGAGTTCTTTTGTTAATCTATTACACTTACAAGTAAGCGGTTGGACAGACATGTTGCAACATTAGGGGCAGGTGAGAGGAATGCATTTACTTAAACATAGCAATTCCACCCAGCAAAGGAAATGTCACCTAGTTTATACATACTTACAAATATTTTTACTTCTGCTTCAACTCACTTCCGTTATCTTCTTTAGAGCTTGATGATGTTGGAACACGGTAAGGAGAATCCAACTTTGACTAACGAATATCTTTGGGGGGGGGTTCCTCTTTGGGGGTAGGATCAGGTAATCAAAATTGATGTATATTTGCTTTTTAAAAAATATTTTATTTGTCCAATTAAATGAGTATTCTAATATTCACACTAAGCCACTTTATCTAATATTTCAAAGAGGCAATTAAGATTCCAACTAACATTCATTTTAGCAAAGCAAAACGCTGCTGGCTACTTTCTTTGCTTAGTTTCTGGGAGCTTGGGCAGCTGCTGTTGTGTGTGCTGAAGGGATATTGGGTTCTTAAAGAACCTGCTTAATCTTCTCTATTAGCCAATTAAATAAAATGGACTCTGGTCGTACTTAGCAGGTGGGTTTGGAAGTGAAATAAACATGTTGAAAATTACGTTTTGCATTTAAATGGGTGTTTAAAAATGCTAAGGCATACATTTAAGAGAAGGTGATGATTGGGGGAGTTTTTATTAAGTGCATCAAGTTAAGAAGGGCTGAATAGTAAAGAACTTAATGAAAGAAAAGGCTGGTTAAGTGGAAATAGGCTCTGAATTTAAATGAGATCAACCTGAAAGGACACAGTGAAACTTACTTCAAATCATTCAGATGTTTCTCCTTTGGAAAAAAAAAATTCATAAAAAACGTACCAACTGCTTTATTTTGCAGAGTCATTCTTCAGGGCAATGTCGCCTTTGGATAGGGTCCTCAGAAATACACTGATTGTAGGTCTAAATGAAAAACAAAAACGAAACTAGCAGTGCTAGCCTCACAGTCATTAAAGAGGCTGCCTTCCCTTTTAATGTATTCGTGTGTTGTTGTTTTTTTAATGAAAAAGTAAGGGACTATTTGATATGCGTTGACATTTGGTTCCTTTCCGCGAAATCTGAAACTTGAGACGCGAAAAATTCCGGGGTTGGTGAAATACCTGCCCTAAGAGCAGAAGCACAGCTAACGTCTTTGGCCCGGAATTCCAGAGGCGAACTTCCACCCCTCCCACAGAGTCACCTGCTCAGGGGGAACCCCGGCCAGAAATCCGGGTCGCGCCAGGTCAAATCTTGCGTCTCTTGTTTACTCCGCCCCTGGCAGGGCGGCGGCGAGGCCTGGGGTGGGTAGGGCCGCCCGGGCCGCGGCGCCCGGGGGCACTGGGTTCCGCTCGCCTTGGCAAGCGGCTCGGACTCCCGGGAAGGGTGGCGGGCGGCTCCCGCCCGGCGGGAAGACCACCCCGAGGAGGCGCTCCCGGCGCCAGCCCGGCCTGGCTGCCGCTCTGCAGCTCTTCGGCCGCTGCGGCCTCCTGGGAACCTCCCCCCGAGGGTTCACACGAGTCCACACCAGTCGGGTTAACCGGCTGGAGGGAGCCCCGGTGTCCCCCGGGTGTCGCCCGGCCGGGGAGGAAGCCCAGAGCTCCGGTCTCCACTCGCCTGGGATTCCCCCACTCCTCGGCCCTGGTCCCCGGGCGCTGGGTGTGATTTCACTCGCTTCCCTTCCGAGGAGAGGAGCGCGCCGGCTGGAGGCGGCGGCTCGCCCGGGTCCCGGCACGGCCCACCGGGACACCCGCACCGGCTCCTGTCGCCACAGCCCCAAATGATTTGAATATCCCGGCGAGGTGGAGCGGCGGTTCCCGAGCTGGGTGCGCCCAGGGCGCCCTGGTGAGTGACCCCAGGGAAGGCAATCGGGGCCTTTTGAGCGCGTGAAAAGTTCATGCTTCCGCAGGGGCACGGAAAGCGCCCAACACTTTGCCAAGCTCCAGAAACGCAGCCAGGGGCTACCTGATTGTGTTTATCTTGACTGATAACTGGATCGCGAGGAGAGGCGGGGGCGAGGGAGAGGCAAAGGATCCGAGGTACACGGACCAAGTAATAATGGCAATACTAATTATTATGTAATTCCGTTTGTTATCAAGACAGGGAACGATTCTATGGGAAACGGGGAAGATGGGGGAGGGGGGAGGAGGAGGTTTCCAGAACCCGAAAGGAAATTCTCAGGCTCCTAGAGACACCCAAGTGTTTTTGCATGACAAGTAGAGACCCGCTCTCCAGGGAGTTCCCGGATCCCGGCCAGCGGGAGCGCAGCCGCGATCTTCCCGCCCCGGCGGCCGCGGCGGGGCCCGGCCCAGCGCTCCCGGCCGCCTCCCTCCCCCGGCGCCCGGCGCACGGCACATCCCTCTCTCCCGAGCTCGCTCCAGACTGGTTTTTCTGGTTCAGCCTCCCTCCCTGGGACGCGCAGGGGGATCCGATGACGTCGCTGGCTGAGTCTCTCCCTCTTCCCTTCCTCCCTCCCCGCGTCCGCTTCTCCCCCCGCGCGCCCTCGCCGCGCACTCCTCCTAGTAACTTCTGTTCGGGGAGGCGCTGCCAGGAATAACCCGGTGCGTCCACAGACCGGGAGGGGAGGCGGCCGCTGCGGCTCCCACGGGCAGACGGCTGCGGCCCGTCCTCGCGGCTCCCTCCGGAGCCCGGCGGCCCCTGCCCCGGGCCCATCTCCGTACAGTGTCAGAAAAATAAATAAAGGCAAGAGGAGCCCGGGCAGGCGGTCGGGATCTCTCCCCTCCCTCCGCGCCCGCCCTCCCTCTGTCCTTAAGGAAATGCTACCAGACACCCCCTACCAGACACGCTCAGCCTCGGCGAGGAGCGGCCGCCGCGGCAGCAAGAACAAGGGCACCAGGGGGGTTTCCTCCCCCTCCTCCTCTCCCTCCTCTTCCTCGTTCTCTCCGTCCTCCTCCTCCTTCTCCTACTCAGCGGTGACTTTCCAGGTGAGCGGCCGCCACCGCCGCCGCCGCTGCTGCTGCTGCTGCGAGGATCCCCCTCGACCGCTCGGGCTCTGGCCGCCGCGTCGCGCCCTCCTCCCGCCCCTGTCACCCGGCGGCAGCCGAGGTTTGACAGCCGTCCGAGGGGCTCGCGGCCCGGAGGCGGGCGGCCGGCGGGGGGCGGGCTGGAGGTGAGGGGGTGGAGAGCCGGCGAGCGGGAGCCGGGCGCGCTGTCTCTCCCACCCGAGGAGGGTCTCCACCACCACGTCTCCGCGGACGGTGGCACAAGTCTCGGCCAAGTTGCGCGTTGGACGCCGAGGCTCCCAGGACCCCGGAGCAACTTGAAGGGTCTCCTGGCTCGTTGACAATATCCCTACGCATCTGGACTTTGGGGCGCTGGGTGCAGCCTGGGGGCGCGTGGAGGGCGGACTGGACCTTTGGGAGAACAGAGCGGCAGAAATATAGGTTCCACGGCTCGGTAAGTGGCCCGGGCGCTGTGTTTTTCCTGCCTCCGGTAGCGCGGGGGAGCTTGTTTCACTTTACACCGAAATAGCCTCCGCCGGGCTCCATCGCCCCTCCCGGCGCGTCCGCGGCGCTTCCCGGTTTCCCGGGGGTGAGGGTCGGAGGGGGCAGGGATGGGGGAGACCTCGGGAGGGGGGTCCGGCGCGTGGGGAAGTGCGGGGAATACCCTGGCCGCGGACCTATGCAGATGAGGGGAGGCTGCTTTGCGTAATGTCCTGGGGGGGAGGGGGCCGCGCGCGAGCGCTGGAGGCAGGAATGTGCCTGGTTACTAATGAGGGACGTGCACCGGCGCGCACCGCCGGGCCACCGCTGCGGCTGCCGCGCCGCTGGCCCCGTCACCAGGTAGCGGGGGAGGGGGCCGCGGCCGAGCCGCGCGGGGAGGGGGCGGGCGGCGCGAGGGCCGGGCCGCCGGCCTGCGGCCGAGGGAGCGCAGCGGAGGCGCCGGCTGTCGGCATTTCAGTGACTCCTTTCTCCTGCCCAGCGAGGAAGGAAGGAAGGAGCGAAGGAAGGAAGCGAGGAAGGAGGGGACTGTCTCTATGGAAGGTTCAGGCGGAGGCGCCCTCGCCTTGCGGGTGCACCGGCCGTGGCGCGGTTCCCGGCGGCGCGGGCTGACAGGGGACGCGTGGAGCCGGGTGGGGGCGGTTTGCATGCGTGTTGGTCTGTGCGCCTGTCCGGGGACCGGGCAGGGACATGTGTGTTGGGGCTGTGCACGGTGGGGAGCTGGGTCTGCGCCTTTATGTCTGTTCCCTGAAGTGGGTGGAACGTTGGCCCGTTCCGGGAATGTTCCATGACGTGGTGCAGCCACAGGAAGGGGGTTAACGAGGGGCTCTGCCGCGGCGGCTCTGCCGGCTGCTATCAAAGCAGATGTGCTGCTGCTGCCTCTCCTCCTCTTTCACCTCCCTTCACCCCTCCTCCCGCCTTTCCATTCTGTGCGTCTGGTACTGGAAGGGGTGAGACAGGAAAACATTGCTGTGGGGGTGGCTGGGTGGGTGGGTGGGAAGGGGAGAAGGGTGTGGATGGTGCCTGTGGTATTTGGTGGGGGAGACTCCAGATCGGCGCTGCCACCCCAGCTGTTATCGCAGATCGGTGCGCTCTATACGCATGTGCCTCCGCGTCCTGTCCCTCTTACATAACATCCAGTGCCGCGGAGGACAGCAGAAAACGAGACCCCAGCCCTCCAAGCAAATGGGATGAGGGGATCGAAGGTCAGGAAGAGACCCCTTGGTGTTGTCCTTCGGGGACGTGGCTCCCAGTGGGGAAAAGCAGGGAAGGAGGGTTTTCTTCAAGTGGCTCCTCTCTCTGACTTGAAAGCATCCAACTAAAAAGGACTGCAGGAACTAGTCCTCTCTAATGAGAAAGCTTTTACCTGCTCTGCTGAGGGCAGCTGGGCACTTTAACCCAGGCGGCGCAGAGAAATGAAGAGGGTCCTTAATAAAGAGAGTTGTAGGAGATGAGCAATAATACCTGCCGGGTGGAGGGCAGTAGGATAGCTTTCGGGGGACCAGAGGAATCCCCTGATAATAGGTTTCACCGGAGGCCTTTAGGACACCTGTAATGGCTTAGAATTCGCACAGGAAGCAGTGTGTGCAACTGACATTGTGAAAGCCTTATTCTCTGCACAGTTACTTAGGCCTAAAATGAACATAAAAAGGCTTGTTTCCGGTACTTACATTTAGAATGGAAAATCTGAACTGATTTTTTCTCCTTCCTTTTTTTTTTTTTCCATTTTAAAAATAACTCAGTTTACCTCCAAATAAATATTGGTACTCTTTCCTACCCCCAAAGGCTAGACCTCGGTAATTTGCAAGAGAACTGTCGGTTTTGTTTTGTTTTGTTTTAAAGCATGCTCTGAGCTCTAGTCAAAGGCTATTGACTTTCCTCTTCAGTACAGTTTTTCTTTGTAGTGCATAATCAAGCCCAGAAATTACTTGAAATATTAATAAGATCAATTTTAATTAAATTTACAATGATCTAGTCTCATAGAAAAGGACCATTTAACTTTATTAGAAACATTTCCTCCAGTGATATAGTAATGTTTGGTGATGTTTGTCCTTGAGCAAAGCAAATTATTTGAAATATTTGCATATATATTATATTACATAGATAAAAATAATATATACTTTACATATATTGCATACATATTATAATTTAAATGTCTTGTACTTTTTCACTTTATAAGACTGCCAAAGCAAAATTTTAACTAAGTAGATTGTGTAATGGGTAGATTTGGTTTGATTTTTAGGATATAGATCAAATAATTTATCAAGACAGAAATGCCCTCCACATGAGTAAAATCGATATCATTTTCATTATTAAGACAGAATTTCTGTGGGACACTAGGGAGTCATGATGAGAATGGTCCATTTTTATTTTAAGATGAAAAGGATTTGCCAGCATCCACTTAATACTGATAGTGTGCTTCAAGTGTCATAATCCTTTTTCACCACTAGGTTTGAAATATTCAGTATATTTCTTATGTGTAGAAAAATGTTATATTACAATGATGAACCTTTTGAAAATGGTCCGTGTTTCTTGCTTTGAAAATAGGTCAGGTATAAAACAAAATTTGCTTATTGGCATAAATATTCCTGTTATGGTGACTTTATTTTATGTGTTTGGCTTTATCAAAGACTACATATATTCATATGAGGATATTTATGATTAAATTGATGTGAAATTGATTCAGGGACAATTTTAGGAATGTAAGTATATTAATGATATTACAAATTTCAAATGTAACTGATTCTTAAATGGTTAGATCCTTATGGAGGCCTTTGGACAAATACCATTAAAGTAGATAAAATATTTCTATATTTCTATTAAACATGGAACTTAAAGGGATTTACTATGTGTATATTATTATGTAATAAAATCATGCTGTTTAACTACAATGAAAGATTAGCCAGTAGAATGTTTTGATTGATCAGGTTCCTTTTACCTGGGATGTGTTTACAAATGTTCTTGTTACTATGACAACAAAACAGAGACAACATGTATGCAGGCGTTCCTTGTGGAATAATGGTACATGTGTCTGCTTGAGCCTTTGGCACTTTGTCATGATTCAGAAAACCAGGTTGAAACTTTTATGCTTCTTCAATTTAGAATGAAAAATCTTTAAGAAGTTGCCTATTTTTTAAAAAAAGTAGGGCTTATTTTAATAGCAGCATTAACAAATAACAAGTACTCTATTTGTGTTGGTTTTAGATTTTTGAGTTATCAATTATTAGTTGAAGTTAACCGGAAAGCTTCAACATAGGAAAAGTAGTTTTAAAGACCTATTGAAAATGTTATTTGGCATGAGTGAAAGTGTTATCCATTAGGATGTGGAATAATTTAATACTTGATTTGGTAACTATTATAATAAGGGAAAAGTGGCTGAAATCTAGTGGATGGATGATTGTTGATCAGGCAGGCCGCTAATCACCTAAGTCTCTTAAAAATAAACATTGTTTTCACATTTTGATTCATAGTCAGCATCAGCAGAACTCTCTGTTGGTGTATGCAGTAGTCCTGTAGGTGGAGAAATATTTCACAATTTAAATGATGTACTTCCAGTTAATGGATTCACATTCTTTAATGAATTCTTTGTGAATCCATCTTTTGGCTAATACTGGTATGTAAGTATTTCAACTTTTTAAGTGATATTTAAAAAGGACCAGAGGAAGTTTACTAACTCAACTCAGCGGACTTCAGGTTTCAAGAACTGTCCAACCATCCAGTATGTATGGGTTGACTATAACCATACAGGCAGAGACTTAATTAATCTTGAGTAAAACTTTAGTGGATGTTCTAATGAGGCTTCTCAGTGTTTGAAGCTATGGATAAATGCAGAGGGTTGAGAGAAAATGGGAAAACTTTATGGAAATAAGAATGTATTTAAAGGAAATTGTATAAGTGATATACTTTTCTGTTGGTTCCTGCTACTTGATCACAATCAAAAGTATTGCTTACTATGTGCTATTTATGGTAATGCTAACAAAAAGGAGGTTATAAATCAGATTTTGTAGCTGTGAGATGGCTCTGAGCAATTTGGAAAAACGTTTCAGCACTTTATCTATTATTGTGACACAACTCCCAAGTCCTCATGTGCAAGGGGATATCATAGTTTACTTGGTCTGTGCAGTCTTTGGCTTCTCTGAGGTGGACCATGGAACTAACATGAAGAGAGACATAGGACTATCCTGTCTTCATGACTGCATTTGGAATAGAATCTGAACTGCTTGATAAATGGTGTCACAAATCATTTGTTATTAACTATTATGTGATCTATTCTACAAGTATTTATAACTTTAGATTTCCTATCAATTTAAAATTTGAAGATTAGTCAGTCATATTTAGGCCTATTTAGGCCTATTTGAAGAAAATGCTTTGGAGAGATGAAAATGATGTTTGTGTGCCTAAAGATTAATGTAGGTAGGAAGCAGGTGGGGTTTGTCCTACCACTTCTGAGTCACCAGGTGGTTGGATGTAAGTCAGGAGGTACTCAGGGCCAACCAGCATTTTTGACTTTTAACTCATGTGTAATCTTAATCCAGTCTTCAGAGTACTATGACAGTGCCTCAGCCATCATTGGGCAATACAATTTTTCATCTATTCATTCCACAAGTATTTACTATGGGTCAGGCTTTGTGTGAG